CCTGCGCCCCGTCCCTCCGCGACCGCCGGCCCCCCGCGAAGCCCCACGTTCTGCACCCACCCTGCCGCTCCAGCCGAGGGCTCCCCGAGACCCTGAGGACGGGGCGGCCGCACTCGCGCAGCAGCCTCTGCCGAGGACGGCGCCCGGCGACTCTTGGAGGCAGGGCGCAGGACAGAGCAAGGGGGCGGGGCCAAGCGCGGAGGCCGGAGGCGGTTGCTAGGAAACAGCGTCTCCGGGAGGAAGTGGCTTCCCAACCCTCGGGTCTCTGGGATACCCAACACCACCTTGCGGCCGCCCGCGTCGCTGGGGCAACCGTCCGGACGCAGGAAGTGACATCAGCCCTCTGGGTCTTGGAGAGGGGTGCACGCCGGCCGCCCGTGCCGCCGGGGTTGCCTAGGAGACGGGACGGGCGCTGCTCCCACCCGCGCGCGGAGAGCCCGCGGTTTGCGGGAGGAGCGAGTGTCTTCGTCCGCGCCGGCCGCGTGAGCAAAGCGCAGTCATGGTTTTGCCACAGTTAGGACACGGAGCCTGCGACTCGGCCGACGGAAGAGCGCCCGGACAGACGGGACGGGTTAGCACGGCGGGGACGTTTGCGGACTCGGGAGGCTGACGGCGCGTTTGAATCTCGGCACCCCTTCCCTGCACCCCTGTGATGTGAAATTTACCATTTCTAGGCCCAGTTTCCTCTTCTTAAAAAAGGGAGGTAATAATCAGAGCCACCTCAACGCGCCGCTGGGCGTGTTAGATGAAATGACGCAGGTGAAGCACTTGCAAGAGCGCCTGGGCTTGAATTCAGTCGGGATCACACGCGCTTTTTGTGCAGCTCGGCCGCGAAGGCCTTGGACAGAAGTCATCCCTGGTGGACACGGCTGAAAGCCCATATTCCAAGCGTGCCTTTAATGTAAAATGCCCCCCTTTTTATATGGATAATCTAGTTAAAATCAAACTAGCCAACAAAATAATCTAATAGGCTGGAGGACCTTGTGCTGCTAAGTAACCAAAACTGTCATCACTTAATCAGCGTAGGTAAGCCTTAAACAAGACAAAAACCATTCTTTAAATAATACTTTAAAATAACATGGATTTGAACTATTATATCATTTGAAAGAAGCATAATCCTAGTTAAATTGTCTGAATAAATTTACTCTTTGCTGTCTAATTAAGTTGTTCTAGTATTGTTTCCCATATCTCTAAAATTTATTAATTTTCACTTTTTCAGCAATTATTTATAAACAAATCACATTGAGACAGATTTAATAAATCAATGTGTTGAAAAACTAAGCGTTCATAACAAGAAACATGAAACTAAAAATTCTATGCTTTTAAATAATATGTGCAATGCAACTTGTTAAAGATTGTGTTCAGTTTATGCTAACTTGTTTGAAAAGCTCATTTGATCAGCATTTGCTTAATTTTGATGTTTTTAAACATTTTTGAGTCTCTGCATAAGAGAAAGGTTTTTCATTCACTAGTTACTGTTAACTTTCTGATCCATATAAGTTATTAATAAATGTGATTCCATCATAGCACCTGTGCCCACCCTGAGAAAACAGTGTCTACATTTTCCTTACATATGAAGTATTAATTTGCTCATGTTAAAATACTTAGATTCATTCATTCTGCTCTATTCATTTTTAAATCCATTTGCCTAATATAATTTTTATTAGATAAGATTTAAGAAAATAAAATTTAAAAAGAAATGAAAAGAGCCTTTAGAAAAGATTCTATCTTTTCTCCAGAACCTACTAGATTTGTATTTTCAATTTCAAAATAATTAATACCTATCAAGCTATGCCATACAAAACTACAGCAAGCAAAGATGGTTAACTAAACTGGTTAATTTCTCCACAAGACCAAAAGCACAATGTCTTTCTACTATTCTCTTATCTTAAACAGCAGAAAAGTATTTATTAGTAACATTATATAGTACCTGAATTAATAGTATTTAATCTAATGCATAATTTGCAATAAACATATAATTGTTGAATGAACTCATGAAACAAATAGCATTTTAAACAGAAAAATAATGAAAAATACTTTTTAAAACATTCTAAAAGAAGCTCACAGATATTCGCTTTTAAAGAAATGAAAACACAATAAAATTTCAGTACCTTATGGAACATTTTCTCTATATTTTATTTTTCATTTTTCTAATATATATTAAATCTCAAAAGTATTTGCCTAGCAAGCATTTTTTAGTTTAATACTGTTTTCATTTCTGAACCTTGTCTTCACTCGTTCATTCATTCATCATTCAGTATGTATACCCATATCAATTTCCTGGGTCAGATTTCGGGAGTTCACAGGTAAACCAGACTAGCTCCTACCTAGGCTTCTTATAGAACAGAGCTACCTGGCAGGCTGGGTAAACATGCAATGACTATACCCTGTGATAATTTCTCTGTAGGACTACACAGGGAGAAGCCCTCAAGGGAGAGTACAGAATTCTTCCTGGAGGCTCTAGGAAGCTTTCACAAAGTGAGTTTGAGTTGATCAATGAGTATAGGGTATAGGGAAGGATCTGAAGTACATTTTAAGCAGAGGAAATGGTCTGTGAATATGGAGCCCACTCCATGGTGGGTGCAAGTGGATGAGCAGAGAGAGCGATGGTGCTGGGACTGTGCTACCTGTCAGGCAAGGAGGGCAATGAGAAGATTCATTTCCAGATAAAGAGGTAACTGAGAAGTGACGCTTCTTTGAAAGTTCCCTGCCCACACCTCAGCAGGCAAATTGTTTACGCTCTTCCACAGGCAACACAGTTATAGAAAAAGGATCCTGTACTCACAGCCCTGGTTAAAACAACAAAGCACCTGTCTAGCATGTTGAGAAGTGTACTACACAGAGCAAGTCCCCGTGGGTGTCCACTGAAAACCACTCTACTTATATTAAACACTGAATGTGAGTAAGCAGCCAGTTACAAGTGCAGGTACCAACACCAGTGTCCTCTTGTGGGAGCAGGACAGCAGCAGACTTATAGAAGGGAAATGTCAGTATTCTGAGGAAAGACAGCCATGACCAGCTACACTGGTTAAAAGTGTGCATCAGCATCTTACGAGGGAAACTGGCTATTGTTAGTCAACTATACCAGTATGTATTCTTTTTTTATTGTCATGTAGACAATAATATACATGAATTGTTATATAGCAAGAGAATATGACTTCTCGTTCAAACTCAGAACTTGTCATTCTGAACAAATAATTTTTGTTATCAGGGTAATGTCCTCAGTTAAATGCCCCTACAGATACTGTTCTAGACAAAGACACATGATCTGTACTGATACTATCTCTATTCTCTGTATATTGCTAACTGTCCTGTGCCTGGTATAATTCTGCATACTTTACTCATATTATTTAA